GATAAGATCCAGGGTGCAAATTGATATACTTCATTCCAAAATTTTGAGCTTTCTTTTTGGGAGATCTTAAGCCCTCTTGATTTAAGTAAGGTTTTAAGGGAACGAATTTGGAGTTTTTTCTGGCGTGATGTCGAATTACCCATTATAAAAGGAAATAGCGTTGTCTTAGCGTTTAATGTTCCTGTAGCAGCCTGACACTAAGGGGTTGGACCGCTCTGACAGTTTACAAGCCTTAGACTGCAGAAAGGAAAAAAACTGGCACTTTTAAATCTTTTGTTCGGCCAGGTGCTCCACAGGGGCTAGTTAATTTAAATTCTCACCTAACTGGTTTTAGCTTGAATGCCCTGGGGGGCAGGATAACAAAACCGATGAGGGAAGTTTAACTTTAGAAGGAGGAAAAGAGAAAAGAGAAATGGCCAGGCCCTACGAGTGGGGTGGCTTGGGGGCGTTCACGCGAAGACTCTAGACCGGAAAGAAAAGGAGGAAATTAGAAGAGATTTGCCAGGCCCAATGGGTGGGGAGGCTTGGGGGCACAGCCGCCTTTTTAGTCTCCTGATGGGAGACGAAGGAAAAAAAGATTTGCGTTGCTCTCCTGGTGGGAGAGATACTCACGGATCCTGTGTTTCCAGGGGCACCAGCTTGCTGGCTGGCGCGGAGTTCAGAGGCTCTCATGTTGGGCGCCAGATATGTGTGCACGGGTTTCGCGGAACACCAGCTGCTGGCTGGCACCTGTCTCTCCTGCGCTGCGTAGCTGGGGTGCGCACGTGTCACACACCGCGTTGCTGAGGCTCTCTACTACCAGGGCTGGCGGCTCTAGAGGGCTGCTGTCAGCCGCCCAGGCGGGTTCCGTCCCAATCTACCGGGCACTCCCTCTGGGTTCGAGATCCATCAGATGCCGGATCATGAGGGGAGGTGTGGGACGGGGAAAGCTTCGAGATCCATCAGCTGCCAGGTCACGAGGGGAGGTGCAGGATGGCGAAAGCAGGGTCTCCGTGAGTTGTGGTTTACGAAGAGACAGCTCTCTCCGGAGAGACTGGATCGTAGGCAGTAAGACACAGAACTCAGCTCAGTCTGACTCAGTGGTACAGCTTCTTTATTCAGTGACTCAGCTCAGCTCCAGGTCTTAGTGATTCAGCTCCGATTAATTAGGGGAAACCAGGATATTTATACTGTGGGGGCAGTGGCAAAAGCCTTAGTGGATAGGTGCTTTCAGGATGCCCCATTTACATGTGGTGGTGGGCTTCTGCCAGGCTGTCAGACAGTGCCTGAAAATCACACAGGAAAACCTGGCAGTTTCAGAGCCAGAGGCCATGTATCTGTGGCGGCTACTTTAAAGATGAGTCAGGAAGAGAGTGGGAAGGCGCCCTGCTGATAAAAGGAGTCTCTGCATATGAACGCCGAGCCCCGTGGGCTATCCGGACATGGAGAGACTGCTACCTTACACAGCAGGGGTCCCCAACAGAAAACAATAGCTACCAAAGCCGTTTGCCCCTGAGCCCTCCTCCCACACACTTCATTTCCCCATCCGCACAGGTGGAGTGAACCACATGATCTCTGCCTCCCTGTCCATGTTCTAGGCTGCCAAGCTAGCGCCCATACTCCCTTCTCTAAGCAACAGCATCTTATAACCACCTGGGGAAGCAAAAGCAAGCTTTGCTCTCAGCTTCTGTCTCTCCATGGTATAAATACTCCCAGCCTGGCCAATTTCAACTTGTACTGTTGAACTTAGTGCTGGAAGGAGACAGGCTCTCCTAAGTTGGTAGGCATGGGCATGAACCAGATCCAGGCCCCCACTGTCCCCCACAGCACCCCTGTCCCACCTTTCCTCCTGAAGGAAACAGGACTGCAGTGAGGCCCAGAGCCTGGCACTCTGAGCACTCGGCACCCTGTAATGTCATCTTTAGCATCTTCATGGCTATGGCTGATGTTGCCACTCCATCCACGAGAGGGCAGCCCCACATAGTTTCACACAGGCATGGAGGCGGTGTGGATCTAGCTACCTTTACATGCTAACTTGCTGCCATGAAGTTGTAACTGTCAGTCTCAGTTTACAGTCAAAGCAGCAGAAGTCAAGGTCACACAGCAAATGGAAGCCTGTTCAAAGCCAGAAAGGCCCAGAGCTCATGGGCTGTGCTGTATGCAGGAGTTGACCCATCCCCAGCACCTCCCCATCCTACACACTCCTTCCTCAGCTGCCCACCTAGTCTCCTCCCCCGAGCCTGCTCCCTCCCCTTCATGCCCTGCCTCTGAACCCAAAGGCTGTTCCTGCTTTTAGAGGCTAATGAACTCTGGGGTGCTGGGACTAGGATCTGCACCTCTGACTTTATGCCACCCTCCAGCATTGCACCTGAGGTGGGGAGCTAAGGAATGAATTTGAACAAAGAATGATGGTGAGTCTGTGAACTGGCCACCAGGGGGCCCACGTGTTCATTGCCAGGAATCAAAAAAGACTGAGTCCTGCTTGGGAGCGACAGCTCAGTGCAATGGGTCACCGCCCTTATGAGGCAAGCCTGATGGTCTGAGCTTGATCCCTGGAACCCACATAAAAAGTGGAAGGAGAGAATCAACTCCACAAAGTTTTCCTTTGACCTCCACATGCACACTGGCAATGCACCACCCCCCCCCACACACACACAAGCACACACAGAGAGAAATAATTTTTTGAAAAATGACTGAACCACCCAGAGTCAATCCTGTGAGGAAGTGAGACCCAGTGAAGGAAGGGTCACCCAGCAGGCTCAGTGGCAGACTAAGAAGGGGACACAGGGGCCCCCAAATCCCAGCTTCATAACTGCTCTTGAGACTCTGTCCGGGAAGGAGCCTGGGGCCCATAGAGAGCAAAGAAAGGTTCAGTGTCACTGTGTTCCCTCTGCTGGCCAGAACTACAGATGTTGGAATGGGGGTGACCCAGGACACTGCTCAGCCTGGTAGGTGACCTCAAGCCTCTTCCATTTTGCCTGCAGGACTTCATCTGTGTGTCGTTCCTGGAACCAGAGCAGCAGTCGCGGACGCTGGCCTCGAGGGCGGACACAGCAGCCCAGGCACTGTGTGCACAGTGTGCTGAGAAGTTCGAGGTCACACAGCCCGAAGACTACCGCCTCTTCGTGCTGGTGGATGGGCGCTGCTTCCAGCTGGCTGACGAGGCTCTGCCCCACTGCATCAAGGGCTATCTCCTGCGCAGTGAGCCCAAGCGAGACTTCCACTTTGTATACCGGCCACTGGATGGTGGTGGGGGCCCCAACCCGCCCTGCCTGGTGGTGCGGGAGCCCAACTTCCTATGAGGTGACCCACCTGGCCCTGCAATGACAGGATTTCCTGCGACTGGTAGACAGAGGGACTGGGACTAAGCTCTCCTGGGTCACTCCCATACACATACTCAGCCACACCTATTCATTTATCAGAGCATCTGACCACACATGTGCTCCCAACACAGGTGCCTGTGTCAGGCACACTGGTGGGCCGCCCACTGAGCATGCCTAAGCCACCAGGGCAGAATGTTGCAAAAAATATCATGAAACAGTGGCAAAGGCACTTCCTGAAGCAGTCATAACCGGGGGCCATGTTCTTCATTAGACAGAAAGGGAAACTGAGGCTTAGACAGAAAAGAGGCTCTCTAGTCAGCTGTAGAGAATAAGCCAAACCCCTCAGGCCATTCACTCTGTCTTCCCCTTGTCCCCATATCTGTAGTCCTTCCAGATAAGAACCTGAGTTCACTTTCCCCAAGACTGACTGGGGAAGGGGTTCCTGGCCCCAGCTACTCCCTAAGCCTCAGGATGGAGCCAGGATGTTTTGCACCAACCCAGGATCTCAGGAGTATCTCTCTGTATCTATCGAAGAGACCGCCTCATGCCCACCCCTGCCTCAGAGCCTGCCTTCAGCCCCCAGAGTGCCCACAGTCCACCAAGTTACCCGAGCCTCACCTGAAGCAGCCAGGCCCACACACCCAGACCACCAAACCAGGCTAGCTCCAGGATACATGGACAAGTCTAAATTCTACCCCATGGTGGGAGATCAACAGAGCCTGTCCACTGATGGATGCAGCACAGGTGGTGGTGGTGATTGCATGGTGCACTGTGGGGGTTAATAAAGGCCTTTTTGCAAATGTTAAGCCCTTCTCTGAAGGGTCTGGAGTTCTGCTTGCCAGTTCAGGTCCCCACCATCTTTGAGTTCCACTGTCCCCAGCTCTAGATCATTTCTAGAACCATCTTTCTACCCTCTACTACTCTTAGGAATACTTACGTTCACCTGGTAAACTCTTAGACATCCTTCAAAACCCATGATGGCTCATGCCTTTAATCCTAGCACTCTTTGAGTTTGAGGCCAGCCTAGTCTACATAGCAAGTTCCAGGCTAGCCAGGGCTACATGGTGGGATCCTGTCTCAAAAAATAAAACTTGGGACTGTGGAGATAGTTCAGTGGTTAAGGAGCACTGGTTGCTCTTGCAGAGGACCAGGATTTGGATCCCAGAACCCACGCAGTGGCTAACAGCCACCTATAACTACAGTTCCAGGGGCTTCGACACCCCTCTTCTGCACAACATGGGTGTATTTACATCCATGCACACAAAACACTCATAAAATAAAAGTAAGTCAGAAAATAAAAAATTACTTAAACATTCCCCAGGAAGCCTTTCTCGACTTCCAGCATTAGTTGTGCTGGTAAACAAGATATATAAAAACATGCACAGAAGTACTGCGTTTAGTTAATACCTTTTTTTTACCTTTTTTGAGACAGGATCCCATGTAGACCAGGCTGGCCTCAAGCTCACTACGTAGCCAAGGATGAGCTTGAGCGTCTAGGTCTTCCTGACATTACAGGTATGCTCCCCCACAGTCAGTTTATATGGTTCTAGGGATTGAACCCAGGGCTGGGTGCATGTCAGGCAAACACTGCTATGTGAGCTCTGTCTTCATCCCTAAAGCTGGTTTTTGTCTTTGTAGCCATCTAGCTATGTGGCTTTTCTCTTCTTCAGCTTTACTTGGGGGTAGGGGGTGTTCTGTGATTTTTTTTTTTTTAATCTTGTTGAGACTGGGTTTTCCTGTAACCCCAGCTGACCTGGAACTCCATATGTAGACCTTGATCCCACAGAGTATAGCTTTTTATTTAAGGTGTGGCCTTGCTATGTTGCCCAGGCTTGCATAGGCTTAAGCAGTGCTCCTGCCTCAGCTTCCTCAGTAGCTGAGACTAAGACACAATACCAGCCATTTACAACTTTATTGAGACCTAGTTCACATGCCCCAGGTAAATAATCCAACCTCCTGTGCAGTTGAAAATCTATATGTAACTTTTTAAAAAAGATTTATTGTATTTTTAATTGTGTACTATTGGCTAAAATCTTGCTAACATAGTCAATAGCATAGAGTTTTTTTAAATATTTTATTATTTTTATTTCATGTATATGCATGTATTGCCTGCGTGTAGGTAAGTGCACCCGTGTCACGCAATGCCCACGGAGGACAGAAGAGACTGTGGGACCCCCTGGAACTGGAGTTAAGGACAGTTGTTAGCTGCCATGCGGGTGCTGGGATTCGAACCCGGGACTTCTGCAAGAACAGTGTTCTTAACTGCTGAGCCATCACTCCAGCCCCAATAATGTAGGTCTTTATGTTACATGTATTATATTTGGTGAAAAGTATATGTGCAAGAAATCACTTTTCACTGAAATCGACTGAAGAGACACACGGGGTACACGTCCCATGCAGCTGAGCATACAGCAACTGTAAGAGGGGGCTGTGAGATTATCACAGTCCAGCGTGGGCCCCACGCAGTATTCAATACTGCATCTCACTTTGTCTACATGTCTCTCTATTGCGTGTGGTACCACTTCGGTTCTCTCCATGTGTGTTGATAAATTTTACTTTTTCCTTATATAATATTGGTAAAATATTTATCTACATTGACACATTGACATATCTTTACGTTTTTGTGGGGATTTTGTTTTGTTTTTGTTTTTTGAGGCAGGGTCTTCCCTAAAGACCCAGGCTGGCCTCCATTTCACAGAGATCCACCTGCCCTTTGCCTCTCTGAGTGCTGGGATTAAAGGCGTGAAATATATAAATATATATATATCCCAGGTTGTGTGGTTCATCTGTTTTTTTCAAACCTCCAAAAGCAAACCTGCTTCTAAATGAACCCTCACAATTCAAACTCATGTTTTTCAAGGGTTGAGTGTGTTTACAGCCTCAACCATTACCACAAATCTGGTTCCTAATACTTTCATCATCCCCGAAAGAAAACTGGTATATGAATCAGGAATAGTGCACACCTGTGTCCTAGCAACTTAGAAAGCTGAGGCAGGAGGATCATCAGTTTTAGGCCTGCTTTGGCCACATAGTGAGGTTCTGTAAAAGAAGGGGGGTGGAGAGAGGAGGGGGAGGGGAGGAAGAGGAGGAAGAGGAGGAAGGAAGCAGGCTTAGAGGTATCAGCAGTTACTCATTTCCCTCTCTCCTGTCCCTGTCACCAATAAGCATCTCTTTCTCTCTCTCTCCTCTCTTCCCCCCCCACTTCCTCCCTCCCTCTGCCTCCCTCTCTGTTTGCCTAATCTGTACATTTCACATAAGCAAAGCTGTATATGGTTTTTAGTAACCAGCTTGTTCAATTGGCCCTGTGTAGACACGGCATTCCTTTTCACTGCTGCACAGTATTTCCCTGCACAGATACGGTTAGCATGGTTTCACATGTCTCTGACAAGCCCATCACTGGACCTCAGGTGTAGTGCTCTGTGCCAAGGAAAGAGTTTGGGTGGCCTCAGCCCTGGAGGAGCTCACCTTCTCCAGAGGCGTGTTCCCTCCCTGCACTGCACCTGATGTAAGGACAGCCCCTGACCGTGCTGCTAGAGAGGCATGACCCACAGAGGTCCTGCTTTGGATGAGGGGTTTCTGGGCTATTCAGGCATTTTCATTACAGTGACAGAAATCCCTGAGAGGACTTATTAATCCTTTGCTTCATAGTCTCAGAGGGTTCTGACCGTGGTTGCTTGGCCCCCATGTGCTTGGGCAGGCAGAAGCATATACCTCACTGTGGCCAGGAAAGAGTGGAAGAGACAGATCAAGTATAGCCTCCAAGGTGCATCCCCAGGGACATGCTTCCTCCAGCATCTTGAAGTTTCCATAAGCTCTCAAAATAGTACTTCCAGTTGGGGACCACACATTCAGTGTATGAGCCTGTGAGGGCCATTGCATATTCAAACCATAACATGTGGGGAGATGGAGAGATAAAAGAAAGCTCAAAGAAGAGGCCCCTGGAGTTGGAGGGTCCGAAGACCTGAACAGTAAAGCATTCCAGGGCAAGAGAAACAGCAAACAAGCAGGTGCAGGAGGCTGTAAGTTCGGAGTTCAGGAGTAGAGAACAGAGTGGTGGGAGGGAGATAGGGCCACGAGGCTGGACAAGGTAGGAGGAGGCAGGCCCCCGGGAGGCCAAGCATAAACCATGAAGCTGGAGGCCAGACACAAATACTTCACTTTATAAATCTTTTATTTCTGTAGGACATCCATTATTGCAGAATAAAATATAAAAGCAATCAAAAATTATAGTATTTTCTAAAAATAATTTCCCTTTGGGGCTTGTACTCCTCTTCAGTAACATCGTTTTGAAGACTTAAAGAGATGCCAGCTTCAACTCTCCCAGAGCAGTCTTCCACTGGCTACAGAAACCCTGGTGAACTTGCTCCTGAAAGCTAACGGGCAAAAAAAAATGCCAAAGAAGCAGAAGTTCCTTCTCCACAAAGAGCTTTACCCACCCGAACTAGTTGCTTAGTGAGCAAGCATCTTATGAAGGAAAGGTCTGGGTGAGGCCTCAGGGTGGCCCTACAGCATTCCAGGGAGGCTGGGGCACAGGCGCTGCCTTCCGACTCCACAGGACGGTGTTCATATCGGAGAACCATCAAGAAGCAGCTGTTCAGTAGTGATTGAGGCACACCTTGTCCATGGCCACCTCGATTCTGTAACAGACGGGAAGGGAAGAAGAATTTGATGAGTTAGGCCAACCCTGAAGGAAGCGAGACAGACATAATCCCATGTGCAGGAGTTGTTTAGCACAGAGCCCCCAGCCATCCCCACTGTGAGTGGGGCCCTTCTGCTCCGACTGACAAATGGCCCAGAACAAAGCTTGGCCATGGTGGGCAGAATGAAAACTACTGTCTGTTGAGGACAGGTCTGCTGACAGTGGTGTGCTCCCTTCTTTCAGAATGATCCCCGTCTTTCTAGTGCCAAGTGCTGCTTTACCTGTCAATCGGATACGGCTTCTCACAGAGGTTGGCCAGCACATACAGATGTCTCAAGGCATATTCGTACTGCAAGAGAACCAAGAACCTTACATGTGCAAGCATTTCACCACACGTGCAGCTCGACTGGAGAAACTATGCTTTTGCACTCACCACGACGAGGAACCTCAGCCAGGGGTCCCAGGCCTATTTAGGTCATGAATCCTCCCTTTTCCTTTTGACAACCCGGAGATGTTTACAGACTATCTCCCAGGAAAGATGTACACATGCAAGGGCTGCACCCAACCCCAGGGGCTGGCAGGCCTCTGGAAGCACTCTCAGTCTGAGGGTAGGACTCCTGACAGAGAACTGCAGATGGCCTTGTCCCCATTAGCAGGGATCTCTGCCTTTTACTCTGGAAGACAGAGTGAGGAGGGACAGATGGTATACAACTGCCAAACTGGCTAACGCAGTATCAATCTTAAGAAAAGGTCAGGGGAACCTAAGAATATGAGAAGTGTGAGGATAAAGGAAGATTCATCAGTGAGTTCTGGGGGCAAAGAGGCAGGACCAGGACCGTAACCATCTCTACGCATCTACACACAGAGCCCTGTGGACAGCAAGCACCCATGCAGAGCATGGCTGAATTCCAGTACATTAGCTGCCAAAGCAGGCTCTGGACAGGCTGGGTCTACAGGCCACAGGCAACTTGCCCACCTTCCTCCAGCAGGAGCTAAGCATCCCCTAGCAGTAATCACAGGATTTTTTAGGAAACAGCGGCTGACATTCTACCACTTGCAGAAATGGCACTCTTCCATCTCCATGGACCAGGGTGTGACTTAAGTGATACGTATGGGGAAGACACGTATGGCTGATGTAAGGTTAGAGGTGAGAGGTTGGGGCCACGTCAAAGCCGACAGAAATGGGAGTCGTCACCTATGACTCAGGGGCTAAGACATGATCAGTTAACCTGGTCATCCAGCTTCCCTAAGGCCTAGATGGAACCTTCTACAAGGCAATGCCCCTGAATTTAGCTTTTGGATCCGATGGGGGAGGCCCAAGGACCTTATTGCTCACCGTGGAGGAGTGCCAGTTAAAGCAGTGTGTGCGGAAGTGGGTCACGGCCTCTTGGTAGCAGTCGTGTGCTGTGAGTGGGGCTCTCTCTGACAAAAGCTTCTCGGCCTCAGCCCCAAACCCTGCTAGCAAGGAGACAATCTTGTGCACTGACTTCTCGATGATGTGCCTGGCCTAGGAAGAAAGACAGTGTTTCAAAATGTATCTGGCTTAATATACTCTCTCTGGGCCCTAAATAAGAAGCACATTTAAAAACTTGTCCTCCCAGAGCCCCCAAACCCCCTCCCATAGGTTAAAACAGAGGCCGATTAAATCTATTTGAGAGAAATAGAAAGTCTGTGCTCAGCTCCCGTGACATGGAAAGGCCTGGCCTCTTGCATCTTCTACAGTGAGCACACTGCACACCTGAAGGGCAGCCTGCACCTGCTCAGAAGGAGGTTGTAGAACCTACCTCCAGAGCAGACTGCTAGCCTCCACATGATGCCGCACGCTCACATTGCCTGCTCAGGAAACCATCACTGGTTGCACAAAGGGTTCCTCCCAGAGGGTAAAACACGGCACCATAAAGAAGACATTGCTGTACCTGCACCTGACTTCTCCACCAAGGACTCCTACCCATGCAGCATATTTCCTTCATGGCTGAATTCTATATACTCACGACCCACTGTGTGCTGGACCCACATGAGTCCAGAAAAAAGGTGTCCCCAGAATCCTATGGGCCCTGTAAAGTCTTCCCTGGAGTCTTCATGCCTCAGCTCAGAGTAGACACAGCAGCAGTTCAGGGTCCAGCCATCTTCTCTGATGCCAGACAGGAAGGGGTTTGCAAAATGCCCTCTTCTCACCAAAACTGCTTTTGCTTTGAAAAATGGTTGGTTCAGTTTCTATGACTACCAAAAGGATAAGTCCAAAATGCCCTTCAATGTCATTATTTCTTTGGAGACAGGGTCTCATGTAGCCCAAGCTGGTTTCTAGTTCACTATGTAGCCAGAAGACCTTGAACTTGATCCTCCTCCTTCCCCCTCCCAAGTGTTAGGATTACAGGAAGGTGACATAACACCAGGGATCATTTTAACTTCAATGCAGTATCAACAGACCATAGACCAAACCTCCCTGGGATCAGTAAGTAAGGAGTATAAAGTGGCAAGATTAGGGAGCACAAAGACAGCTGTTTCTTCTGTTTAACACCAGTTAAAAGCATATCCTGGCTAATCAGGTTGTTACACTCAGGGTGATTAGAGTTATGCATTTAAAACAGGCCCATGGGTCTGTAGGTCAGTCGGCAGAGTGCTTGCCTGGCATGCACAAAGCCCTGCGTTCAATTCCTGATCCTCAGAACCACTAAAACTGGGTGTGATGGAGTATGCCTGTGATCCCGGCACTCAGAAGGTAGAGACAGGAGGATCAGAAGTTCAAAGTCATCCTCTGCTACATAGCAAGTTGGAGACGGCCAACCTAGGATATATGAGACTTTGCTTGGAAAAAAAACAAAGATAGATTTTGTAATCTTTTCTAGAAAATCTGGCTGTATTTCAGTGCATCCATCAGTGTGTAGTGCTGACTGGGAAATGGGCATTAACACAGCAGCTTTGTTGGAGAGACAGGCAACCCTTGTGCCCCGCACTGATGAGAGCACACAGCTACAACCAGAGAGATAATCCTGCCAATTCCATCAACCAGCTACTGAGCACAGATCAACGGTCCTGAAGGACAGCCAGCAGTTTCAGGAGATGCGTCAGGCTGTGTCCATGAGCGCCAGAGACAACAGAATGATTTTGTAGGTTGGATTTGTAAACAACAAATATGATTAACTAATGAGTCAATGAGAAGCAGAATAGAAACTGTCTCCTAAGCAAAAGACATGGGAGGGAACCAGCCACATGCCACAGCTTCCTGGAAGGGGACTGAGGAGCAGGGCCCCCAGTCCTGGGCTTCCTGCTGCTGAAGTCAAGGTTGGTTTATGATGAAGAATAAAGACAAGCACTGCTCCACTCCTTGCCCTGCCCTCCACAGCACAGAGGCCGGCTTCTTCTCCATGTTCCCCGAGGAGAGCAGTTCACATTCTGGCTGCTGGTCCTGAGCACACCATACACTAGTCTGGAGGCAGTGACCTCATACACACTAGCCACCTCAGCTGGTCCATCCCCTAGAAAGAGTCCCTTTCGCCACTACTTACATCCAGAAGCCGCTGGATCTGCCCGACAAGATACTGGGATTGCTTCAGATCATTGGTGCGCATCAGCTGTCTTTTCATGATGGCCAGAGGCACCTCCGGGCTTGGAGTGAGGTCAAGGTGTGTGACTGGAGGCAGAGAGATGGGGGAGCTGGCTCTGTGCTTCATACCCTGAAACTGCATCAGTTTCATGGTAGAGATCGACTGGAGAGAGAGAGAGAGAGAGAGAATAAATATGAATGTGACTTTGATGAGAAAGGCAGGTAAGTCAAACACATCCTGTCTCGGCTCCTGTGTGGGAGGCTCATGGTTCACTCCCAGTTTTAAGACCTTGGAAGGGCCCCAGTCACAGCCTGAAAACATGTGGTCAGCCCTGGCAGTAGGCAAGGTGACATACTTGTGCACCTGAAACCCACCACTGAAGAACTTAAAAAACACCCAGCATGCTTTGCAGCAGGCAGCTTCCTTTACATGTGAAGGCAACTGCAGATCAATAGTCAAGCAGAGCTTGGACTGATCATTTTAACCTTGGCAACCCTGGATGTCCTCATCACCCTGCTCCCCTGACTGTCCTCAAGGACCAACAGGAGAGAGGTACCAAGCATCTGTCCAAGCTAACGCTGAAGTCTGAGGCATTTGAGAATGGCAGAGCCACAGAGGCCAGGCTGACACCGGGCCTCAGACTAACAAAATGAGCACAACTGCTGGGCTGTGTCTGCTTACACGGGTCGAGACAGACCCAACTCCAGGGAAAGAAATAAGGCAGGTGTTCTTGTTTGCAAAGCAAGCGACCCTCATCCGAAACTCACTCTGAAATTAAAACCAAAACACATACACAGGGCTCAAAAGGTGGCTCAGTGGTTAAGAGAGCGCTGCTCTCACAGAGGACCCAAGTTCTGTTCCTAGCACCCACATTTGGCAGCTCACAGTTGCCTATAACTCCATTCCAATCTGATGCCTTTGGCCTCTATGGGCACCTGTGCTCATGTGTACATAACTACACACAGACACACATATACATAATGAAATATAATAAAAATAAACCTTTAAAAAAAGACACATAGTTTGCAAAACCTCCTTCACACACACACACACACACACGCACACACGCACGCACGCGCACACACACACACATGCACACCGAGGTCCCAGCACTCTGGAGGCTAAGGCTGGGGACTGCAAGTTCAAAGCCAGTCTGTGCTGCATGATGAAACCTGTCTCGAACCTCCTCCCCTATAAACCAGAAATACATACACTCAGGTTATTAACTCTACCTTTGGACTGTTTTTTTGTATATTCTGTTTAAAGAATCGTTATTAGTAGTTATGTATTCTCAAGGGACCTCAGAATCCAGGACTTGGGCAGGCAGCAAGTAGACACTTCTTTTTGCCGGTTGTGGTGGCACACACCTTTAATCCCAGCACTTGGGAGGCAGAGGCAGGCGGATCTTTGTGAGTTTGAGGCCAGTCTGGTTTACATAGTGAGTTCCAGGACAGCTGGGGCTACAGGGTGA